GTGTACTATCGTACCAGTGTACTATCGTACCAGTGTACTATCGTACTAGTGTACTAGCGTACTAGTGTACTATCGTATGCTTCTAATAGCGCTTTCAAACAATGGTTACCCTCCGTGTTACTCCCACTTTTTATTTTTAACGAGTTTTTCGGATATAATGGTACGCTGTTCGGTGTAACAAGGCTTTTTTACTTGTAAAGCGTGGGATATTTTGTGCATGGTATATCCAAAAGGTCTTGCGTGTCAGGAATTGTTCTTAGAAAGTATGTCCATTTGTGCTTCCGACCAAGAATGTAAGCCGAAAAACAGGGTTAGGGCTCTGTTTAAGCGATTTCGGCTAATTTTGTTATTTCACTGACCCACTCATTCACTTTGCCGTTAACATAGTCATCATGGAATTCCAGTGATCCAGTCACTGCGCCAAGGTGTTTATGAACTTCGGTTGTGACCTTTATATCCGTCAATTAAAACAATTCCAATTCCAATTCCAATTCCAATTTCTGTAAGAGTGTTCTTTATTTCACTAAGAGAGCCTGCTCCACTTGCGTCAACATTGCTTGGTGCTTGAAGTGTGTTGTAGTGCCGTTATTAAAGGCTTTATACTCAAGGCATAGACACCCATAAAAAATGGATCCCCTTGGGTTGTTCCTTCTGCTGAAAGAATCTCCTTTCCTCCTGTAATAAATAGTCTAGCAGGATTTCTGTAGGTGTTGATAGCAAATACTGAGATAATAGGACACGATATGCGTATGTTGTGTAATGCTGTAGCTTTATTGAGTAAGTTAAATGCATTCGTTGCATCGATCAATAGCATTCCATCGGTTTAATCCACTTCAAAAATAGAACGCATGAGCACAAACTTCGAGAGTACCACTCGCTTGAGCTACATTATCCTTGGCAACACTCATGACACCCTTTGCGATAATCCTTCTCAAGACTTCACCTACGCCAACAGGCCTCACAGCTCCGTCTCCTATATCCAGGGGAATCAATCGACTTGCTATAAGTGGCTCTATAGTAGTTGGGTCAATATACTGCGTACACATGATCTTGGTCATTTGAGCTAAAGATTCACTTAGTCTTACTGAGGACTGATTCAAGGACTTGCATGCAAGTGTCCTACGAAAGCCGTTAGCATCCACTCCACATGCCCCCCTCCCGCACCTTTGGTTCCCATAGCAGCCTCTCTAATCATCTCTCCATTAATCTGTAAGTAGACAGCTTCAGGCATCTCTTCCTCTATAGGTCCAAATAGAAGAGAGCCTGGCTGACTGTGGTTCTGGGTGTTTCTCTTTTAGCTGGTTCATGACATCATCTGTTAGGGATAGAACTCCCCCACTGGTAGATTCATTCAGAAATCGTAGTGCTGCATTAATTTGCAGTTTCCATTATAAGCTTGTCAAATATCTTTGACTTATTGGGCGGGTCTGCGCTTTTTAACTTTCCGATACGATTCTTTATTAATCTTCCTTCCMTTACTAGGCTCTCGATTTCACCTCTTTTCCATTTTTCTAGACGTTTAGAAATGATAACCTGATGATCTTTTGCTTTAGATTTTCGGTTGGGTTTTTGTAGTGCAACCGCGAGAAAAACAAATATGCCTTTCAATGATATATGTTGCKAGTCTGAAATATTCCAGTCATTAATGCGAGATATTAACTCGTCGATAAAGTCCATTCCAGTTCGGCCACAAGGAACAAGGAATGCATTCTTTTTCCAAGTAACGTCTCGTCATAAGCGTTGGTTATAGTAGATGTTGGAATTTTTATATCAAAATGGAAGACCATCAGAATCAAACGACCAGAAAACTTCATTCGGTTGTAAAAACGCGGGGATTAAATTCTGGTAAACATCCCGGTAAGCTCATATAATCGTCTAAAATTGTCTCTGTTTGTGTTGAGTCATCTGGAAATTGCGAAGAGCTTGACATATGCAAATCTGTCTCATGAAAAGAACTACCATAATTTCCTTCGCTTTTAGAGGAATTTAAGTTTTCAGATTCCTCATTCTGCCTCAGATTAACTCCATTTCGACTTTCTCGTGTTTCGTAGACATTATCATTTATTATCCTTTGCTGCTTTTCCAATCTTGTCGCCTGATCCCTAAGATTTTGACGCAAAAAAAACAAGTCCTCCATAGCCTTTTGAATTCCAAAGTTCTTCCATAAGTTTGATATATCCCTTCTTTTTAACATGCATTTTGATCAAGCGGTGGGTTTTCACGTTTGGTTAAAGCAATGGCCTCTACTTTACAACTTAGTATATCGACATTTATTCTCTCAGTCCATTTCCTTATCGAGTTATGTGCCCTTTTTCCTGCCATACTATTTGAAAACTGGCTGCAAGTGATCAAATTAGGGAATCAGGTGGAACCATTACAAAGAGCATGCTTGCTTGGAACAGCTARAATYTTAAGGAAAGTTTTASACATGTAAGTTTATTTTTGGTAATGTAAGAGAGTATCTCAGGGTATCTTAGGCCACGGGAAGTGGCTTGATGCCTCTGTAGTAAAGACTAACTTCACCACCTTAGCTATGATAGATTTTAAATAATAATAATAATAATAATAATAATAATAATAATAATAATAATAATAATAATAATAATAATAATAATAATAATAATAACGAATTTCTGTTTAACAGACAACCAGAGTAGAGATATAATTCATACTGCTGGTGTTAATTTAACTTAGAGTCGGCCCCATCCAGGAGCTTAGACGCTAAGCACCTTTTGTAAAATGATAATAATAATAATAATAATAATAATAATAGTAATAATAATAATAATCAAAAAAATATAAAAAAACTTACCAGTTCCACCAATCCCATTAGCAGATTCCTCGCCTCCATTTCCACGACAGATTTTTAGTTTTATGTTCCCTTTTTGTCTATTAACGCTGATTCTTATCCGCCCAGCATTACCACCATCACCTGTTTGAAAGCGAGTCGCATGAATAAATTTCTACATTTATATATCTTCACATCACATCACATCACATCACATCACATCACATCACATCACATCACATCACATCACATCACATCACATCACAACACATCACATCACATCACATCACATCACATCACATCACATCACATTATAGCTTCGTCAGGGTATGGTATGATATCTTTCTTGAATTGTTTTCTTTTTTGGTCTTATTTGCTCCGTAATCTCTTGTATCCCCCACACTAATAACTAGGCGGCTGGTATTGTTTTTGCAACATGGGGTAGAGGCTCTCCGTATCACATGTCGCAAGGCTCCGGCAGAGAATTTGAATTTCCCGCCAAAACCGTTGTAAATCGAACGGGTTTCTGTCGAACCGTGGACCGAATGAGACTGAAAATCGGCCAGTCGATGTATTAGGTATTGTGTCTCTGCTGATTAACCTTCGATAGCATCCAAATGCCACATGACGATGTTATAATAGTACAGCTTTACGGAAGCGAACCAGTATACGTATGAGTATGGGTTTCACGAAACGTTAGTAGCCAGAACTCGTTTCTGGTTAAAAATCAATGACCTGGCAAATTAGAGATTTGAACGCCTTTGTGATTGGAAGAACTTACACATAATTTTACAAATTGACAAAAATTAACAAATCACGGGAATTCAATTATGCATGCATCATGTGATGTAGATTTTTGCATCTCACATTGTTTTCCATCATGGCGTGGAATACAACCTTCAACTTTCAAGTCCACAAGCAATCTAGCCGCGTCATATCTAGGACGCGGCTAACAACGTTCAATGTTTGTTTTCGAGTTCTTAAAAAAGAGCATAAAAGCCGTTTTTTAGTAAAAAAATATTTCATACCTCGATAACAAATTGACACTACAGTGGAATCTCTACTTACGGAGGCTCCCGTAAGCGGACAGTTCTACTTACGGCAGCTTTTCAAAACCCTGTTTTCCTCCAATACAAACACTGTATTTATACTTTTTATTAAGCGGACTTTATGGGATCGTAAGCGGACGCGGATATTTTTAGTGATTACCAAGTGACCTTTTTTGTTGTTTTCAATCTCTCGTAATTGGACACTTAAATAAATTTATGTACTCGATGTGGCTCGAACTCCCGATCTCTAGATCATTCCCTATACATCGCCTTATGTTAATCATATGAATTACAAATCAATTTTTTTAGGCTGTGTCTACCTGCCCGTGACTAAATCATTAATTTAATCGCTAAACCCAACCCAAACCTTACCCTAAACCTAACCAAGAGCTAACCAAGCACTTTTGTTCAGTAATTCTGTATTTTTTTTTCGCAAACGGACATTTTGACTTCCACAAGATAAGCATTAATACTAATCTTTATATAAAGAATACTAATAAGGAGTTTTTTATCATATATGAAGGTCCATGCATGTGTCCAAATAGGGTCATTCTAATTGGCCTAATAGCTTATTGGCTGTGTATGAGTTTTTAAGGACAGGCTTCACAGACAAACCTGATTTGCCAGCATAGCCGCCATCACCACCGTCACCTCCTGCAATGCCGTTTCTGGAGTGCATGGTTATGCATGGTGAAGTACTGAACCATCCAATAAAGCACTCACTTCGAGTATAAATAGGTTGCTGTACAAAACGAAATTCATGTATGAAGCTAGTGAAGTATACATTAACGTTTGGATAACTATTCAGATGAAAATCAATGTCTGCTACCTTAAGTTATTCTCTTTAAAAAAATGCGGCAGGGTGAGGGAGAGGGGTCCAACTTCCTGACTGGTAAGGGGCTATAATGTAATTTTACTTCTCGAGATCTTTATAGTTTTCAAAAGAAAGCGTGTCGACCAACTGACTAACTGATCGCCTGATGTATGCAACACTGTCATGTACTATTTACTGCAAAATATATAGTTATAACGTAACAATAGAAATAATATGATTAGCATATAGAAGTGTTCATGTTTTACACACTTTTAGTGTTTGTACACTACCGTTTCGCCGCTCCTATCGGCCCCTGCCCTTCCATCAGCACCATTTTGACCTTTATTTCCATCCCCTCCACTTGCCTCGATATCGATGTAGCCATAAACTTTGTGAGCGAAGACTTCAACTGACCATAATGAAATAGTAAAATTTTAACAAATATGTAATATAATCATCTACTACATGCTTTATTGAAGGAGTGAGCTCGCTGCGCTCGTGGGTCCACTTTAGTTTGGAACATTTTTTGGCGTCAAGTGTGACGTATCAATTTCTAAATTAAATAGATGTGAAATCCGAAAAAAATGGTTTTATATAGAAAGGTGAATTGGGCTACCTGATGGTCCATCTTGTCCGTGTTTGCCATCATCCCCATCTTGACGATTCCTCAAGAGACCGTATTTTTGTGTTATTGATGGAGCTCGTAGGTCCAGCTTACTTCCTTGGAAAAACATTACTCTACGACAGTATATTTTTAACTTACTGATACCTCGCATCTTAATTACGCCCTGCAATTAAAATACAGAATATGTGATTAGATTACAATTGCACTCTCTTATAACCTCACTTGGCCAGCTTTCGCCTAACATTTCAATGCTTCATATAGCTATATGACATCTATTGCGCATGCATTTTGTTGGACATTTTTCATAGTTCCGTTAACTTTTCATGTCATATTTATAATCTTGAACTCAAAGATCCACTCTAACGAAAAAACAACAACAAACTAACGAAAAAAAACAAACAAACAAACAAAACAAGTTTTTAAACATCTAGTAAGAGTCCAATTTATGTCTGATTTTTTGTACATATTAGATACTTTGCGGGGAATAGTTTTGGCTAAAACTGATCAAAGAACAAAACGATGAATGACACTAAAATCGACTGAAAAAAAATATTTTAGGATATTAATCAGAATTCAAGAAAAATACTTGTTGACTCAATGATTGATAAAGCAACATAAAATGYTTACTTTAATTTGAAGAATTTGAATTTGAATTTGAATTTGCCATTTAACTACGGTGAGAATAGTAAATTAAGGGTCGAAAGCCTTTTCCAGCTAAATGTTAGTCTTTTCTAATGGTAACGGCTTCGTTTCTCAGTTCAATCAGTTTATCTAGAGAATTACTGCGTTAAATCAAATGTAATTTAGGAGATAACAATGTCAATAAATTGACCTTGACATAAATAGTATCGGCATTAATATCAATTTGAATATTAATTATTAGGGCGTTCTTGTTCATCATCGAAATTAACGCTCTTTTTGTCTCTCAGGAACTCTTGAACAAAATCCATATGAACATTTCGGCCTGTTACCACGTAACGATCTACAAATAATAAGAATTTTGTCAGTTTATTATTTGAAAAGAGAACGACAATTCATGATTGGGTTGCAGTCAGACTGCTGCTCTTCTTAGAAATAGAGTAGTTGAATCAAGGGGTCAATACTATGATAGTTGCCGTTGGAAATTGGATGTTCCTCAAAATGTTATAGTCGCCCGAGAACGCGCGAGATTTTAAACTGCTCTATTGTTTTTATTATTCAGCGAAAAAATTTTCTTAGCGGTGGGATCTATCCTATAATGATAGTGCCCTCCTCGGCGTACACTATTGCGTCACGTGGTTGACTTTTCACCAATGACTAGGAGAGGAAAATTTGTTGTTGAGTTATAGCACTGATGTAGTACTCCACGGCGGGCTCTATCGCGTCACTGTTCGATTCTCGACCAATGAGAGAGCAGGACAATTTTTTGTTGAATTATTTAAGTAAAATAGTAAACAATCTCGGTATCTCAGTAAATACGTTCCGTTACCTGAAAGAAAGCATCCATAAAACTCAACTCTCATCTCAATATTAATATGCCATTCTGTTGGATTTATTTGCACATATCTCGCTGTAAATGGCCCAACCTTCTGTGTAACAACGCCATTGCGATCAGTGTTTCCAATAAAGACCTGCAATTTACCAGTTACGTAATTGAACGGTCACATATATATCAGCAAGACTTGAAAAAATCAAATTAAGGAAGATTGATCATTGCATTGAGATTAGAATCTTGAATAAAATCTGAAACTCTACGGCACTAGTAACAGATCTACTTTTCTCACCCGCCGAATGAAAAGTAGATCTGTTCGCAGAGTAAAACAAACCTTTACTGCTAGTATTCCCTCATCGATTCTTTGGAGCTCTATCTAACTTACAATTAATTTTTTGTTTCACTGGTTAAAACACCTTATCTTTCAGGGTTTTTTCTGGATACAAACTTTCGTAAAAAATATATTCAAGGGTTAAACAGACGTATATACAGAAATAACATCTTTACCTTGACGAAGTCTGTTAACAAGAACGAAATATATTCATTTTTAAAAAGTCCGTAAAGAAAACGTCGTATATTCTTCTTTAGTTTAGAATTATCTCTTGTGCAAGCTTGGATTCAATCAAGCATAAATCATGATAAAGTTTTATTGTCTTCTTTATACACAGAGTGTTTGCATTACAATAGATTCTCGGCTGAATAGAAAAATATACACCTATTTCAAAAAACGTTGTCGTTGTCCGTGCACAGCCCACAGTCTTGAGCCTGCAAAGAATCTCGGGATTGCCATATATATTATATATTCAATTTCAGTTATTCAAAATTCTCCGATTTAGAATTCTGATTTGCTCTGTATTAGCTTCAAAACCAAGCAACATATTCTTTTGTTTCATTGATAGCCCGAGAAAACGCATGGAATTTGAAAAGGGAGACAATAGAATTGATAGAATTAATCTTTTATTCTCACAATTAGGAATATTTTGCGAACAAATGAGGCTAACACAGAGCATTGAAGAATTCGAGACTGGATTATTCTCGGTCTCGTAGCGAAAATAGCTTTGAAACTCATTGACGGTTTAAAAACGTGGAATATTCATTTCAAGGAAAACACTACTAATTTTTCATGGCGGGACTTGTTCGATGTGTTTAACACACGCAATAGTAAATTAGTAGTGTTTGCCGGCATTGAATTCAAAACACAATATATATTAATTACGCATGGAAACCCCGAGATTCTTTGCAGGCTCAAGCCTGTGGACTGTGTCGTGGTGACGACAACGTTTTTTGAAATAGGTGTATATTACTAAATGCTTCGAGTTTAAGGCTGCACAAATACAATATTGAAACTGGAGTATTGATGGTGCTATATTTTTATCTTATTTCCTCACAATCTATGAGATGCATACATGATAGTTGCTATTTACAGCTTGATTTTACCTTGTCTTCATCTTCTTCATTTTGGACGGTTTTATATGTGGTGTGCTTCCCTTCTTCACGGTATGACACTTTGTATTTCTTGACCCATCTGTCCATTTCTTGTCTCCCTTGTGTAGCAATTTGTATCACTTTCACATTTTGACCAAAATCGACTATTAAAAACTGTTCTTTATTAGATGTTTTGGCAACCCAGGCACCGCCTTGGCACAAGGTTCAGCCTAGCATTGTTAGCACCATAATATTTGTTATACTGCGAAGACACCGTTATCTGCTGCCTCAAGATCCGGCCATCTTCCATGCCGAGCGGTCCGCGACGATTAGTGCAGACTAAGAAATAAAGACTTACATAACTATTATTGTTATATTGGTAAATTATTTTCACTGTTTTCTCGCTCTCTTATTGAACGATTCGGTCTCACGTGTCCGGAGCTAAGATGAACTGTTGACTGATCGGTCAATAGTTTGACGATTGTTGACCGCTTGGACATTGGCGGGAAAAGGCCACCTCGCGTCGATTAAAAGTTTGTAAAGGCGGGAATGGTTTAATCTCGTTATCTCGTTTAAGGGACTGGGCAATATTAATTACTCCTCACCCCTCGCAAAGGAATGAAATTAAGCTCTGCAGCCCCTCCTCCATCCGTTCCCGTGAAATTATTTATTTATTTTGAAATGTTCCTTATTTTGATTTCGAAAGACCTTGAAAATCTCATGTTGTGTAAGTATCTAGAGTTTAACTTTTGTTCTTCTGTCTTTCACATGCATTTAAACCAAGAATTTTACGGATACAAGTTTCGCTTTATTAAGCCTTTTCAATCTGCATTTTGTTCGTGAATAATGAGTTGTCGTAAATCGTGGCGCGCTTTTCTTGAGAAGTTTTCCACTTTAATGGGTAATTGGCCAAAAAGCACAGAATCTGACACAGTTGAGTTCTAGTTAATGTTTGACGTTGTCCCCCTCGACTTTTTAGTTGGTCTCTTGTACGGTTTAAAAGATTGTGTTGCTACGACCTTTTTTCGTAAGAGCCTGGTATCTTCTAGGGATATTTTTAACAATTTCCGAAGATCATCTCCACCTTTAATAAGAGGGAGTAGACCCCTCCCTACCCCCCTACCCCCGGGATTTACCTATTATAAATTTCAGGAAACTTCGCTTTTGTATCCCATGCATGATACCAAGAGTGGTATTAACGTCCATATTAATTTAGCATTTTTTTAGGTTTGTACAAGGACCTTTGGAAAATAGACACTTGGTCAACTGAAGTAGTTCCATTCCCATGATAGATCTACAGTTTATCTGCATAAATCCAAACGAATAAATTCAATGTTTACCTGGTGCCAAGGCAACAACAGAGGGTGTCTCATACCATGTCATTGGAACTTCTCTGAGGTTCGTAGCTTCAATCACAGCATCTGGGACGGTGTAGGTGCGCACCAAACATGCACCATCGTCTGAGTAGAAACGTGAATTATTATAAACATATTTTGAATAGATCAAGTGACGGTTTTGACACCATTTTGTTTGGGTAAGTAAAGTCTCGTAAAATAGAACAGTCAGAAATCAAATAATTCAAATAATTCTCGATGAATTTCTGCTATTCTGAAAGAATCATTAATTGAAAACGTTAGATATCACAGACAGGAGAGTTAACTGTCCAGTTTTGAAGGACTTAGCCGGTTATTAATTTATAGTTTCCCATACATTTCTTTGTAGTTTTCACATCAAAGTGAGGCACTTGGGCCGAGCGATTCAAGATGGCCGAAGAGTTTCTAAGTAAATCTGACCTCTGAAGTAGTATTTTCGCCTTTTTTGTAACTCTCTAACGGTTTAAAATCACCAAAATTATCAAGAACGATGGGCAGACATTGTGTAGCTTTTGGGTGCACAAATTGAAGCGATAAACCATCATGTAAAGGGCTTTCATGGCATTTACTGCCTCTAACAACAAGGAGCTTCCAAAGACTTGGCTAGTAAAGATCAGACGAGAAAATACGTCGTTAAGCAAGAACTCGTTCCTCTGTAGTAAGCATTTTGAAGAGAAATGTTTCTCTAGATCATTTGCTGGAAGAAAAGTAAGTCTGAAACCAGGATCAATACCGACAATATGCTGCTTTACCCACCAGAAGGCGAAAAGTAGAAAACATTTTAAAACATTTAAAATATTTGATTGAGATCCAACAAAAAGCTAGTTTGTATTGTATGTACAGTAAGTTATTGCTATCATTTAATCTATTTTATTCTCAATAAATAAATATTGTATTTGGTATTGTGCATCAGAACATTAGTAAACTAGAACTCAATGAATGCATACTCACATTTATTAAAGTCTCAGATTTATTATCAGATATAGCAACATTCTTCTTAATGTGAACATTATGATAGAAATGCAAAGTATAAGTGCAAGAAAGTATAATTTAGCATTCACAGATACATTGCTGGATTTCTACTTCATTAAAAAATAATCTTAATCATGAACTTTATCTTAACCCTATTCAGACTGGGATTTT